CGGGGATTGGGGTTGACAATGGTTGAAAAACCTAAATATATTGATCGATTTAATGGGGTTCTATACGTGTCTTTAAATGGTAATGTAAATGTCAAAAGAAATATAATCAGGAGAAAAAAGTTTCATTTGAATACTGACGCAGTAAGTCTCCGTAATGATTGAAAGCCAACATCTAATTACAAAAAAAACCAGAAACAGTAATAGTACAGAAAAATAAATAATTAGAGGATCACACTGATACCTGTTTTCGTTTGTAAAATGTTTTCATAATTCCAATAATTAAAGTGTCTTATTAGAAATGTACATATCAAATAACAAAACAATAAGTCAAAGAACACATTCACACCCAAGTTTTTGCCATTGTCTCCAACATTGTCAGAAGTGATGCAATTCCTTTAGGTATAGGTGTACATGGAGGTTTGTGCATTATTATCTTAATTGGAACTAAGTTTTGTTATCGCAATAAAGTAAGATTCCCGGCACTTTGTCTTCTTACGCTTGGTCATGTAAACTGTCCTACTCACAATGTTTGTGCAACATTCTCAGGGCTCAGACCTCGAAACCTGTTAAAAATAAAATCACGAAAATTAATATCCTTAAAAAATGACTGAAAGTGTTGATCTATCTACGACTGGGACATAAACACGGTATAGTGCTATATAAATGGGAACTTGTTAACACCTTAAATATCAGGGAGTCGTTGAATACAAAATTAGCAAGAACGGTCGATTTGTTTACAATTAAAAACATGAGCTGACGTTTAGGTTTTTTTATTGGTTAAAATATTTTGTATACTACATTTCCAACAAAAAAATCTTTAATGTATTTTTGACTAAGAAACGTTATCAGAAACATTCGTCATTTTTTCTTTGAAGTGAATAGAACAAGAAAAAAAAGTTAACGTAATTAGTGATTTATTTTGCATTAGACATACCTCCCACTATTTTTCTGAGGCTACTCCAATACCGGCAAAATGACATCAAGGTGACAGCAGAGCTCTCTCATCTCGGCATAGCCACGAATTACATCTTTTTTCTTCTTCGTTGGGTCAAGGCGTTTCAATAGGTTTTTGTAGTTTGTGATTGACTTTGAAAAGTTTCGCATTTTCTCGTTAATCTTCTCGGTCAACATGTTAAATATGATGTATTCAAGAGAAATCAAATCATATTCATCTTTAAGAATTTGTTCTGTCCATCGATTAAGGTGCTCTAATTTATTGGCCTTATATTTGGAAATCTTTTGATGCTGTTTTCCTTTCAGGACTGCACACGTAACTGGAAGAACTGTTACCATTCCCGCGATGCCCAACGGAATCCAAAGTGGAGAAGTTAACACTATCGCAGCGATTTCCTTCTTGTTTAAGTCGGCTGTGTGTTCTTTGGTAGGTAAATCTGTGGCGGTTTCTTGTGCTGATACTTCGTCCTTTTCAATATTTTTCAAAAAGCGCTCCATCTTGGCATCCTTTTCTGTGATATTCAGTGTGATTTCGAGCAGCCGGTCCATAAGGTCTCCTGACTCTGACTTGCATTCTTCTACGTAGTCACCAATTGCTTTCAAGACGAATTTTCCGAATAGCAATGCGAGCATAAAGTTTGACATCCGAATAGTCATTTTCGTTGGGGATGTCATCTTCTGTCCAGTTGAAAATCCTGTCTTTGTTTGCAGCATCATTAAGATATTGATGAACACGCTTGGCAATGGACGTTTTGACCGTTCCTAAGGCATCGATATTTCGTTTTTCCTTCAAGAAAAAATGTAAATTTGTATATTATTTAAGTTCGTATTTA